AATCCTATGAATTGTAGTAAGAAAGAAACCAAAGTTGTTACAGTGAATTTACCCTAAATTTTCTAGGTTTCAATAGAACTGTCAGTAGATGAGACATAACCCTTCAAACCATATTTCTGTAACCTCAATATTTTCACAGAAACAGTGGGGTTCAGTGCAATCCCACGGGCCTGCAGGGGCCGGTTCTCCCAGGGAAACAGAGCCCTTGGATCTGGGATGAGCCCCCCCCCTGGCTGCTGCATCCAGGGAATGTCCCCATCAGCAGAACCACAGCAGTGGTGACACGTGTGAGAAGCCCAAGGAGGAGCAAACACATCCACAGGCCCAGACCCCCCCGGGGATTCGCTGCCTTGCAAATTTTATGAACCTGGGCCATCAATATTCATGGCTGGAGGAGCAGAGGCCATCCAGGCACTCCTGCCCTGGGCCCTGAGGGATGGGGGGACACAAAGGCAGAGGATCCCCTGGGCCACCAACCCAGTGGGCAGCTGAGCTCTGCTCTGTAACTGTCCCCCTGAGTCCCCCTTTCCCCATTTTAAGGATATTCCTTATGTTTGTCCTGTTCCTCCTGTTCAGACACTCGGCCTCTTCTCTACAAGATCCCCAAACACCTCATGGCAGCTCCGGGGTTGCTTCACCAAACTCCCTTCATGTGAGTTAAATCCGACCTGGCTGATTTGGGAACATCCAGCGTCCGTGAGAGACCTTTAATATTCCATTTTCTTGTTTTAGCCTCAGCCCCCTGTCACTGGCGTTTGTTGTTACTCACCTGATCACAAGTGACCTTTCCGAGGAGGACTGAGGCAAAACAAACCTCTGCATGCTTGGAATCACGGAGACACGGAGTCGGTTGGGCCGGAAAACCCTCGGAGAGCACCGAGTCCAACTGTTCCCCAGCACTGCCAAGGCCACCACTCACCCCTGTCCCCAAGGGCCACCTCCACACGGCTTTGAAATCCCTCTGCCATGGACAACAGAGGAGCTGGGAGGGAGTTCAGCTGCCAGAGGGCAGGGATAGATGGGAGATTGGGAAGGAATCCTTCCCTGGGAGGGTGGGGAGGCCCTGGCACGGGTTTCCCAGAGAAGCTGTGGCTGCCCCTGGATCCCTGGGAATGTCCAAGGTGGGTTGGACGGGGCTTGGAGCAACCTGGGCTGGTGGGAGGTGTCCCTGCCCATGGCAGGGGTGGGACTGGATGGGCTTTAAGGTCCCTCCCTCCCCAACCAATTCCGTGCCTTTGCAGTGGTTTTTTTGTTAGAGCTGCTTTAATCCCCGAGCCGTGGGAATTTCCCCATTTCCAATGGCACGGGAAAAACGCAGCAGCCCTTGGGATATGACCAGGCTCTTCCCCACTCCTGAGACAGCGAGGCTGCCCAAACTCCTGCTCCACCAGCAGCCTGGATTCACTGCGGTGTCCACGGCTCCTTCCTTCCTCTCTTCGTGGGCTGTCACTGCCCCGGTTCAATCTCAGTTTTTACCCCCAGGCTCTTCCCTCCTTCCTCACACTGTGATCTGGGCAGGGCTCCTGGCGAGCCGCCCTGTGCCAACACCCCCTGTGCCAACACCCCCCTGTGCCACCCCCAGGCTGTGTCCCTGTGACAAACCAGGCTGTGCCGGGGCCGTTCCCGGCGCCCTCATCACCGAGCTGGAATTAGTTCGGTTTAGGACAAACCCTCCATCTCACGGGACAGCAGCGGGTGGAGGGATCCCGGCACACAGGTGTCCGTGCCCTCATCCCAACTCCTCACCCCGAGGATGATCCCGAACCCACCCCGAGCAGGGCAGAGGGTGCGGGGCTGTGCCGAGGCGGTGCCGGTGCTGGGAGGAAGGAGGCGGCGCACGCCCTGGCCATGATGCTCATTCCTTTATTGTGTCGGTGCCGTTTTTGGGAGGGCGCGGGGCGCTCCCGGGGCGCTCCCAGCGCGGGGTCGAAGCTACGTTACAGCACAGGGAGGAGGGTCCGTCCCAGCCGGAGCGGGGGCACGGACACCTCTCTCCATACAGTATGTATAATATATATATATTTATAATATGTCCTGTATATTCCTATGTATAGTGACAAGGATGGGCCACCAGACAGTGAACTTTTGATTTCGAAATAAATCACCAGAGCAACAGGCACGAAAATTTGGTCCTAATCGAGGCCCTCACCTTGTCCATGAACCCGGAACGGACCCGCACCCACCCCCGCGCGGAAAAACCTCCAAACCTGGAACCCAAAGGAACAGTTCAACAACAACAGAAGGAAGCCCCAGCCCAGCCCCGTCCCCCCGGGGGTTTCGCCCCGTGCAGCCCCTCACACTGACGGTCCCAGACCCCGGGAACACCCCACACACACCCGGCACACACTCGGCGGGACACACACGGACACCGACGGACGCTACGAACACACCCCGGGGCGCGGGGAACCCGCTCGGCCCCAGGACTGCTCCCAGCCCGGCCCTCCGCGGGCTCTGCTGGCCGGGGGGGGTCTCGGCAGGGCCGGAGCGAGGGCTCGGGAGGCTCCCGGACCCCGCGGGACGAGCGGCACTGGGATGCTGGAAGTGGCTCATCCCGTCCCCTGCTCTGGGAGCTCCCGCACCCGTCCCGTGCTCTGCTGGAGGGGCTTCCACGTGGATCCCACCGTGACCAGAGTCCTGCTGGAGCTGGAGCGGGGCCTGTCCCTCGCCGTGACGCCCAGAGGACACACACACACCCCCACCCCAGGGGCAAGGGCACCATCAGCGCTGTGTCCCACACCTGAGCCACAGAGAACAGAGGCAAGAGACGGTCACTGGCTCAACCCCTCGGGGCTCCACGAGCTGCTGATCCGCCCAAGGTGAACTGGGACCAGTGGAAAACAAGGAAGGGAGGAAAAATCCATTCCCACAGCCCCCCCCCCAGCTTCTCCCCGTTCTGAGGTTGTGCTTCCCGACCCCGACTCCCAGACGCTTTCCTGGAAACTAAACAAAGAGCTCCATCTCTCCCATCCACCGTGTTCTACAGGATCATGGAATCCCAGACTGGTTTGGGTGGGAAGGGACCTTAAAGCTCACCGAGTGCCACCCCCTGCCATGGGCAGGGACACCTCCCACTAGCCCAGGTTGCTCCCAGCCCCGTCCAACCTGGCCTTGGACACTTCCAGGGCTGGGGATGGTTTCACGGGGCCAGCTTGCTGCAGGGGATGCCCACGGACACCCCTGGCTGCTGGGGGTCCCTGTGCACACAGACCCACCCCACGCCGTGGAGGGGACCCTCTCTCACTCCTCAAACACCTTCCCCCGCACCCTCCTCCCCAGGCTGAGCTCAGGAGGGAGGGAGCTCAGTCCCGGGAGCACCTGCAGCTCCCAGCTGGATTCCAAGCCAGGTGCTGGGAGGGCGGAGAAGGGGACGAAGGTTTTGGAGGGGCAGAAGGTGTTATGGGGGACAGGTGGAGAGGGGAAGGTGGAGCCAGAGGGCAACGATCGGGAGCTTGAGGCAGGACAACGTTAGAGGGGGCGGGGAGAGGACATCCCGTGGCAGAGCAGGGATGAGTGCAGGAGGATTCCCCCGGCCCAGCTGCACCCACGGGACACGGCCAGGGGGACCTGCCCAGCTCTGAGCTCAGCACAGCTGGTGCTCCTGCCCCTGCTGTTCCTGCTCCTTCTGTTCCTGCCCCTGCTGCTCCTGCCCCTGCTGTTCCTGCTCCGTGCCTGTGCCTCTCTCCCTCACCCCATCCTGTGTGCAGGACCATCGGGGTGAGCAGTGACCAGTCCAACAGCGGGAGAACAGAACAGGCTGCCCAGGGAGCTTCTGGAGTCTCCTTCCCTGGGGACACTCCAAAGCTGGACACAATCCTGGGTAATGTGCTCCAGGGGACTGGATGAGCTCCAGGGGTCCCTTCCAATCTCAACCGTCCTGTGAGGGAATTCTCTTTGTTTCCAGGAGACATTCCCTCCCTGCGATCTTCTCCAACCTGCCCTCCCGGGGAGTCCCTGTGCCCAGGGACTTCCTTTGCCAATCCACACCCTCCCAGGTGAGCCGGGGTCGCTCCCTTATCCATGAGAATCCATGTCACACAAACAGATCTCCTCACCTCCCCCATGCCAGGGAAAGCACAGCTGCTGGCCTGGCACTGCCAGGAAGGGTCTTCACCAAGGTCCCGCCTTCCCTCCCTCGGGAAGCCGCATCCCGCAGGAACACCGAGGGGATGGGATTCACATCCCCAGCAGACCCCCCTTCCCCATCACCCCTTTCACACCCATCCCTCCCACACCTGCTTGGAAATCTCCCCCAGCTCAGGAGTGACCTCCCTGTGGCATTTCCCAGCCCGGAGGGGAGCAATGACCTCCCTCCTCTGGGCGTCACCGCCTTGCCCCACGTTCCTCTGCTGCCTTCAGCTGCAGGATGGAGCCACTCTCATCCCACACCTCTGTTTCCCACAGGCAGCGCCGCTCCCCACGCTGCCCGGCTTTGGGATGGGCGGATGGAAGGGGCTGGAATGTTCCACCTCTTGTTGTTGCTGTCAGGAGTCCCAGCCCGGGGATGGGAGATGGTGTCAGGCACCTCGACGGGCCGGGGCTGTCTCCAGAGTGTCTCCAGAGCGTCTCCAGAGCGTGGCACAGGTGGACAAAGCCCTTGGCTTCGGTTGACTTTGGTGACTCCGTGATCCCTGTGGATGGAGCTGGTGCTCCTGGAGTGACAGCCGTGCCCGTGTCCGTGAGATGTCCCTGCTGCCACCAGCATCAGGCTGGGGAGTCCCACGGGGGGACTCTGACAAGGTGCTGCCACCACCGAGTCTCCAAACCCGCGCAGGAATCTCCAAATTCCCTGGGATCCAGCACAGCAAAGGCAGCACCAGAGTCCAGGGCGGCCAAAGCCCCCACAGAGGGTCCCGTGCCCCTCCTGGCTGGTGAGCGTGTCCTGGCCGTGCCCAGCCCTGTGCCAGGGCAGCGTGGGCAGGGCTGGGAGCCGGGCAAACCCGGGGGGCTCAGCACAGTGCCCAGGGCCAGCCCCGCACATCCAACAGTCCGAGCGCGTCTCCTGCCTCCGCCATCAACCACTCCATAAATAAATAGGTTAAATAAATAAAGTGACAGATCCGGGCCGGGGAGGGGCACGGGGAGGGAGGGGGGGAGGGAGGGAGGGAGGGAGGGAAGGAAGGAGGGGCGGGTCCCCCGCCGGGCCGTTCGTGTCTCACAAACACACGCACACAAAGCAGCTGCAGACAAGGACGAGCGGGGCCCTCCCTCGGCCCCCTGGGGCTCAGTCCGGACCGGGGGCTCTGGGGACGTCACTCCTGAGCTGGCATCTGAGCTGGCATCTGAGCTGGCATCGCGGCGGCACAGGCGGCGCCCGAGGTGAGGGACACGTGGGTGGTGGAGGAGGGCAGCGACCGCGGCGTCTGGCACCTGGGGGACAGAGAGGAGCCCTGCTTGGCTCTGCTGGCCCTGCCCCTGCCTCCCGCTGGGACACACATGGACACACTGCCCTTCTCTGCTGGCCCTGCCCCTGCCTCCCACTGGCCCCAAAATCCCTCAAATCCGGCTGTTTTCTCCGTCTTTGCAGGCAGCACCCTGTGCTGGGCAGGGCAGGACCTTGTGGGAGGGATATATGAGTATCATGGAATCATGGAATGGTTTGGGTGGGAAGGGACCTCAGAGCTCATCCCACCCCCTGCCATGGGCAGGGACACCTCCCACCAGCCCAGGTTGCTCCAAGCCCCGTCCAACCTGGCCTTGGACACTTCCAGGGATCCAGGGGCAGCCACAGCTTCTCTGGGCAACCTGGGCCAGCCCCTCCTCACCCTCACAGCCAAGAATCCCTTCCCAATCTCCCATGTCTCCCTGCCCTCTGGCAGTGGGAAGCCATTCCCTATGTCCTGTCCCTCCATCCCTTGTCCCCAGTCCCTCTCCAGCTCTCCTGGAGCCCCTTTAGGCTCTGGAAGGGGCTCCAAGGTCTCCCTGGATCCTTCTCTTCCCCAGCTGAGCACCCCCAGCTCTCCCAGCCTGGCTCCAGAGCAGAGGGGCTCCAGCCCTGGCAGCACCTGCGGGGCCTCCTCTGGACTCTCTCCAGCAGCTCCACGTCCCTCCTGCACTGAGCTGTGCACGATGACAACTCAACATCAGCCACGTTTTAAACTCTGATCCCACTCAGCGACTTGGGGCCGGTTTCAGCCCCCAAAGGAACAGAGGATTTGCAGCCCTGCCGCGACAACTCCATCTGCCCCAAGCCCCCCCTTTGTCCCCGGGGAGCCTCCTGGCCGTGCCCTGCAGCCCCCCGTGCCCCGCAGCCCCTCACCAGGAGCGAGACTTGCGCAGGCGGGAGGCCGCCGGCCGCTCCAGGAGGCTGTCCAGGCGCATCAGCCGCTCCAGGTGCAGCGCCCGCGGGTCCTGCTCCGCCGTGTCCCCGCTCCGCTCGAACTCGAAGATGGCCGGGGGGGACAGGTCCAGCTCCAGGAACATGATGTTCTCAGCCTGCAGGGGACAGGGGAACCGGCACAGGAGTCACCGCGCGGCAGAACCGGCCCCGGCTCCGGCGAGCCCCGCTCTGGCTGCTGCGGCACAGGAGAGCTCCACACCAGCCTATGGCTCTGCTGGGGCTCTCCTGGCCTATCCCAGGGCTCTCCTGGCCTATCCCGGGGCTCTCCTGGCCCAGCTCCCAGCAGGTCCTTCCCAACGGCAGGAGCTGCCGGAGCCAGGGCCAGCAGCTCCGGGAGCGGCTGAGAGCAGGGATATGCCAGGGATAAAGCTGGGAGCTTGAGTTGACGTATCCCAGGTCATTGCGAGCTTGTTTACTCCATCTTCTGTCACAGTGTTTGTCTGTCCATCCATCCATCCGTCCATCCATCCATCCAAGCATCCATCCACCCACCCATCCACCTCTACTTATCCTTCCATCCAACCACCCATCCATCCATCCACCCATCTATCCAGCCACCCATCCATCAGCCCACCTCAACCCACCCACCCACCTCCATATCCATCCATCCACTCATCCACCCACCCACCCATCCCATCTATCCGTGGACCCCGTGCCCCCTGGCCCACCCCAGTGCCCCCTGGCCCACCCCAGTGCCCCGTCACGCACCCGGAAGCGGGGGTGGGATCTCATGGCCATGGCCACCCGGGCGTACTGGCTGATGGGTCTCTTGTAGCCCACGGCGGAGGTCGGGCGCCTCTTCATCTGGGAGCTGTTCCTGGAGCAGGGACGGAGGGAGAACCCGCGTCAGGGAACACGAACCGACCGCAGCCCTGTCCCGGCGGGGACCGAGGGGGCTCGTGGCCCTTCCCGCTGGGGCTTGGCTGGGAGGGGATTTCCACACATGGCCCCCAGCCCTGGGGACATGGGTGCCCACTGGGCCAGGGCTGGGCCAGGGACGTACCCTCCGGTGGGCACCAGAGGCTGGAACTTCCACTGGTCCTCGTCGCCGTCGAAGTAGAGGCGGTTCATGATCTTGTTCTTCTCCTCGGGAGGGATGAAGTTCTCGATGATCAAGTACCTGAGCCAGGGACCGGATGAGAGGGATGAGAGGGAGGGACGGGGGGAAAGGAGGAGGAGGAGAGGAAGGAGTTAATGTGACAGGAGACAGAAAACAGCTCGGAAAAGGAGAGGAAAGGGATGGCAGGAAGAGAGGGAGACAGCGCAGCAGCGAGAGGAAACATCCAGAGGATGAAAATGGGATGGGAGTGGAGAGGTTGAAGGAATAGACGCAGCCACGGAGAGGGGAGAGGCAGGAGAGGAAGGGTGACAGTCATCAGAGAGGAGCCAGGACTCCTGGGAGCTCTGGGGCTCCAGGCAGGATCAGGACCACCCCCCTCCTCTCCTCCCGTCTGCTCCCCTGGCTGCCTGACCCCAAAATCAAGGGCAGCTCAACGATGCCAAATGGACCCCAAAGGGAATCTTTTTTCCCATGTTTTTTGGGGCAAATCGAGCAGCTGCCAAAAACTGTTCCCAGTCGAGGAGGTGCTTCTCCCAAATGCAGCTTCTCCACAGCCGCGGGTTGGGAGGGAAAAGGGGGAAATCGGAGATGGAATTCTGTTTCTAGTAAAACCGTTTTCCCCTGAAAACGCTGGAGTGCTTGTAAATGTCTGGGGGGGTTAAAGCACTGAAAGAGACGAGTGTTTGAAGTGAGAACAAACCCCCGGGGGCGGTGGAGCAGCAGCTGCTGCTGTGGGAGGCTCCCGGAAGGCAAACGCTGCCTGGCTGTGCCGCTGCCCCAGGAGCTCCCACAGGGCCGGGCTCACCCCGAGTCCCCCCGGAGCCACTCGCCCTCCCAGGATGGCACTGGGGCCACAGCAGGTCTCCAGACACCCTCAGCCCCCCTTCAGCCACCGCTGCCACCCCCCGGGTTCACCCCCAGCCGGTGCCGCTGCTGCGCTGGAGTTTCTGCTGGAATGTTTCTGCTGGAATATTTTCTGCTTTTCCCCTTTCTCAGCAACTTTGGGACACCCCAAGTGCTGCTGGCCCAGCGCTCAGGGTTCCAACACCTTCTGCCACAGCCAGCAAAGGTGGGAAGGGCTCAGCTGCCCCTGTCAGTGGGGGATTGCTCCCTCCAGCTCTGCACCCACCCTGAGCCCCCCAGCCCTGCTCTGAGCACCCCAACTCTGATCTGAGCCCCCCAGCCCTGCTGTGAGCACCCCAACTCTGATTTGAGCACCCCAGATCTGCTGTGAGCACCCCAACTCTGACCTGAGCCCCCCAGCCCTGCTCTGAGCCTCCCAGCCCTGCTGTGAGCACCCCAACTCTGCACTGGAAACCCCATCTCTGCCCTGAGCACCCCAATTCTGCCCAGCACACCCTGATTCTGTCCAGCACACCCCAGCTCTGTCCTGCACATCCCAGCTCTGTCCTGCACACCCCAGCTCTGTCCTGCACACCCCAATTCTGCCCAGCACACCCCAGCTATGCTCTGTGCATCCTAACTCTGCTCTGAGCACCCCAGGCCTGGCCTGTGCCCCCCAGCTCTGCTTTGTGCACCCAGATCTTCCCTGCACACCCCAGTTCTGCCTGGCACACCCCAGCTCTGTCCTGCACACCCCAGTTCTGCCCAGCACACCCCAATTCTACCTGGCACACCCCAGCTCTGTCCTGCACACCCCAATTCTGCCTGGCACACCCCACTTCAGCCCGGCACACCCCGGGCTCAGGTGGTGCCCCACAACCACCTCACAACCACCTACTTGAGCTTCAGCTCCCTGGTCTGCTCGTTCTGGGCCTCCTCCAGGTCCTGGCGCACTCGGATGTACTCGTCGTGCTGGTCCTGGATCTCGGCCTTCACGGCCTGCAGCTTGGCATAGAGCTGGGGGGGACACAGCACCCACAGCACCCTCAGCACCCTCAGCACCCTCAGCCCCACACTCAGGGCTGCGGCGAGCCCTGGGGAGGGACGTCCTTGTCCTTGTCCCCGTCCCCGCCCGCCACACTCTCACCTTCTTCAGCTTCTTGGTTTTGATCTCCACCTCCTGCTGCAGGGAGGTGAAGGTCTCCCGCAGCTCCATGGTCTCCTCGTCCCTCAGCAGCACCTCCTGCTGCATCTCCCGCTCCCGGCGTTTCTGCGGCACAGGGGACGCGGTCGGAGCCGGGAGGGGACACCTCTCCTGGCCCCCCTGACCCCCGAGCAACCCCTGTCACCCCTGAATGACCCCTGTAACCCCTGAGTGACCCCTGTCACCCCTGAGTGACCCCTGTCACCCCCGAGTGACCCCTGTCACCCCCGAGTGACCCCTGTCACCCCCCAGCCGGTACCTGCTCGGCGATCTCCTGCCGCCGCAGCTCCAGCATCTTCTGCTGCTCGTTGGTGTGGTCCACGATGGTCCTGCCCCCGATGAGCAGCTTGCTCTCCATCGCCTGGGGAGGGGGCAGAGAGGGGGAGCAGAGCGTGTTGTCACCCTCCCCACCCCGCAGGGTTTGCCTCTGGTCACTCCCATGCCTGGTCCCTGTCCTCATCCCTGCTCTTGGGAAGGCTGGAGGTCTTGGTGTGGCACACACTGCAGTGCCCAGCTGATGGGGAGGGGGCTGTGCACGATTAGATTGGATACTGGGAACCATTCCCTCGTGGAATGTCCAGCCCTGGCACAGCTGCCCAGGGCAGGGGGGAGTCCCCACCCCTGGAGGGATTTAAAGGGAGCGTGGATGTGGCACTCGGGTCAGTGGTGGCCTTGGTGTGCTGGGGGATGGTTGGACTCCACGGTCTCGGAGGGGTTTTCCCACCTAAATAATTCCATGATCCTACAGACACCCACCAGCCCGGGGCTGGTTCAGCTCCATGGGCAGGGCTGGGGGGTTGTGGGGGTGTGGGTGACGTGACCCCTCCGCTGGATCCCAGCCCAGCCCACCCCAGTCTCACTTCCTTCCACACAGCTGCCAACCCACGGGATTCCATGGATGGGCAGCAGCTCCGGCAGCGGGGCCCGGCCTCCACCCCCTCCTTCCACCAGCTGTGACACACAGACACACAGACACACAGACACACCCAGACGTACACCCAGAGACACACACACACACAGACACACAGAGACACACACACAGAGACACACATACATACAAACACACAGACACACAGAGACAGCTTGTGCACACACACAGGCACACAAACACACACACAGAGACACGTACAGACGCACACACACACACACAAACACACGGACACACACAGACACAAACACAGACACACACACAGACACACAAACACAGACACGGACACACAGACATGGACACACAGACACACAACACACACACAGAGACAGCTTGTGCACAGACAGACACACAAACACACAGACACACACACAGACATACAGACACACAGACACACACACAGACACACACAGACACACAGACACACACAAACACACAGATACAGACACACACACACAGCTTGTGCACACACACACACAGACACACAGACACACAGACACAGACACAAATACACACAGACACAAATACACACACAGACACACACACAAACACACACACAGCTTGTACACACACACAGACACACACACAAATACACACACACAGCTTGTGCACACACACAGACACACAGACACACAGACACACAGACACAGACACACAAACACACAGTCTGTGCACACACTCACACACACACGTGCACACGCCGTGCCGGGGTGCACACGCTCACACACTCACACACGCGTGTTGGTGCGTGTGGGAGCCCCGGGTGTGGCAGAGCCGTGCAGGAGGGGAGCACCCCGTGTGTGCCCGTGTGTGAGTGCTCGTGCCAGCCGGGTGTGCAGCCGTGTGCCAGCCCTGCAGCCCCGCTCCCGTGCCAGGGTGTCCGTGGTCCCCATGGCTGGGCCCCGGGGTGTCAGCAGGGACAGACCCTGATGTCCCCATGACACCACACACAGCTTTAAAATCAACCTGCCAGACACAGAGCCAGCACAGCCACCACCCCTGGGGTGTGCCCTCTGCCACCATCCCCACGGTGTTCCTGTCACCAGCACGTGGCCTCTCTCACCCACTGGTGTCTGCCCACAGGGTCCTTCTGGACCCCCCCAGATCAAGGGTCCCTGCTCCTCACGGTGCCCGGACTCCCAGGACCCCCATCACTGCCACAGCCACGGCCCTGAGGGGCAGCAGGGCCACCACCCCAGCCCAAGGGGTGCCAGGACTCGGGGGACACATTCATGCTGCTGTCCCATGTCCCCACACAGGGGTCTCCACGGGGGTCCCATGCCATGTCCCCTGGCTGTGCCCCAGCACCAGCAAACCAGTGACCCCCATTCCCACCAACAGCCATGTGGGGCCAGACTCTATTTCCCCCGTTTCCCCCCCATTTTTCCCCCTCCTGGCTGCAGGGGGGGCACACTGTGGGGTTCTGGGGGGATGCAGGCAGCCCTCCTACACCCACGGGACACCCCACAACTGTAGCACCAGCTTCTCCCACCCCATGAGAGCCCTGCAGCCGCTCAGCACCACGGGGGCACAGCCTCCCATGGGTGCCCCATCCACCCCCTGACCCCAGTCCCCGGGATCCCTCCTCCTCCTGTCCCCAACACCTTCGGGTGGGGGTTCCTGGCCAGGTGTTCTGCTGGGGGCTGAGACCCCCAAGGGCAGCCCCCTGACTCCATCCTGTGCCATCCCCTGCCAGGGCTCCCGGAGCGGCTGGGCTGGGATCACTGGGGTGCTCCAGGCCCCTCACCCTTCTCCTCCAAACCCAGCCCTTGGCCCTAATTGCTCCCTGGGGTGCTGAGTGTCCCCTGGGTGCAGGGAGGGGGCCGGGTGGGTGCAGGGACGATGCTGCTGCTGCCTCCCCTCCCCTCCCCAGAGGATTAAGGGGTTTCTCAGTGCTGCTGTTTCCTCCCTGCCAGAGCCCTTATTCCCTCTAACGAGGAGACTCCCAATCTCCTTTAGCACTAAGCCTCTCCCGGGAACTTATTTCCGGCACCCAAATAACTTCCCAGCACTTTCCCTCCCGCTGACCTCAGCCTCAGCCCCTGGTAGAGCTGTCAGGGCCCACAGCACCCGGCTTGTCCATGGCACTGCCCCTCCCCCTGGGCACATCTGGGAGCCAAGGTGCACATCTGGGAGCCCAGGAGCACATCTGGGCAGGCTGGACCCCATCTCTTCAAGCTCTGTGGTGCCCACTAACCCGGCTGGGGGGCAGAGGCAGAGCCCACGCCCAGCAGTGTGATGACACACGGGGTGCAGAGTGTGTCCCCCCCCGGGCGTGGGGGGCATCCCGTGTCCCCCCAGTCACCTTGGCTGCCTTTGCCACGGCCACTGCAGAGCCAGTGGCTCCTTGCCTGGCCCTGCTGTGTGCCAGAGCTGCCCGTGGGCACCGGGAGGCCACCCAGTGTCCCCCGCAGTGCCCCCCAGACAGTGCCCAGTGGGGCATTTCTGGGGGGGATTTCTGCTCCCTGAGGTGACACCTCACTGGTGTGACTGTGCCTGAC